GGATCACCCGCTCATCTTTCAGCCCATCCAAGCATCTTGGAGGTTTAGGGTCTGTCAGGCCTGGCATTCCTTCGCTCTTCTTATCACTCTCTACCCCTTCAAAAAGGCAATTGATTAGTTTCAGCTTTTCCAAACCGAGATCCGATATGTTTCTCAGGATCAAACGTCTTTGAGAAGCCAAGAGAGTAACGTGGGGGATGGGGAATGTGAAGAAAGAAAACACGAGCAGGAAAGAAATTTGCCCTCCATCCAAACCATCCACACCCAAGACACCTAGAGGATGGGGGGGCGGGGGCGGGGGATGGGGGAAGTGCTGCCCAGAAGGTTGGATCGTGACTCCTGGAAGACTCACTTAGGATGTGTCTTCCCTTTCCGGAAGCAAATATTTAAAGGAGAAAATAGATATCTAGAGAAGGAGGTTGATAATTTTATGCCTGGATTTTCCCTCCAAGCATTTGCCTTCCTTGTATTTACAGGCGTGTCCCCATTTGCAAGTTGTACATCTGTTCTCTTCACGTGACATTTCATAAAAGCCCTAACATCTGGGCAAGATAAACTTCCTTCAGGTACCTGCTGATTCCCCCCTCCCCGCCTGCCTCACTGGTGAGGTCTGTGGCACGCTTTGTTCCAGCCCCTTTCGCTGGAACCCCCATCCCCAGGTGGTCCCACATCGCCCGCTTCCCAGCGCCAACCTTTGCCAGGGCCAGTCTCTTCCGCACACCCCCGATCCTTGCGTCTCCCGCCTCTGGTTCCACTGTGCAGGTGAGAAAGGGCACCATCTTGAACCCAAGGAGAAAACTCCTATTTCCTTCGATTCTGGCTTTAGACCAAAAACAAACAAAACAAAACAAACAAACAAAGAAACCTGCCTAATAAGCAGCAGGCAAACTCGCGCTTAGATTCGACCGTCTCGTACACATCCATATATACCTCAGTGGAATGAGTAATAGGGAACAGCTGATTTTGATGATTGTCTTTTCGCTCTCTCTGGTAGATGTTTAAACTGCATGTTTTTTACAGAAACTTAATTTCACTTGCTCGCAATCTCCCCTCCCCCAAGAAGGCTGCCTTCTAGGATGAATGTTTTTAGAATTGCTTTTTCTTTTCCTTATCTGGAATTTTGTTCCTCTGGCTTCAGCCTAAATCGCACGCATAAGTACGAAGACACATCCACAAACTTGAGAGGGGGAAAAAAAAATAGAAGGAAAAGAAAATAGTCCACGTAAACAAGAAAGACGGCAGGCAGTTGGAGGCCCTCGCTGCAGAAAACCCCAAACGATCTCATTGCAGGGCGCCCACGAAATCCCGGCTATAATTGAGTGTTTTCTTTGAGGTTTTCTGACCATGTGCTTTTTACCATGGTTACTGTGACTCTGATACGAGAAGCTGGATATTCATTATGATCCCGTCCCATCCTTCCCCCAAGGCTTATCTCCGGGGCCCTTATAAAAGAGAATATAAAAGGCAGAATTTTGTGCCAGTGATTTTAACCTGCCCCAGCTTCCAGTGACCTGCCACATGCTCCTTCTTACTTTATGGACATCTGGGAATTCCATACATGCCTTAAACTCCAATTACACACCTTCTTCAAAGGACACGTGCTTTGATTTGCTAAGAATATTAAGTGGGCTCACCTCCTGGGGCCTTGGGACAAAAGCGAATGGAAAAATGTATCCCATGCCCTGTTTACTAGGTCTATCTTTTGCTGTTCAGTAAGTAAGGATCATTCATGATCCTGTTTGCATTTTCGAGGTGCCTGGCAAATAGTGGGGTGATCCGCTTTCAGAAATTATGAGGAAACCTATTTCTCCTTCCACTTTGCCGGTACCCTTTCCTTCCACAGTCGCCGGTGCTGGGGGTGGGACACGCTTTACGACACACCAGTAGAAAATTCTGGAAAGGTGGCCCGCGTGGATCCTTCTCCCGACCCCTGTTTGTCGCTAATGCGGTCCTGTCTCTGGAAATATGAGGTTGGGCCTTTGCCTGAGTCTCTTGCTGCCGCTTCCCTTGCTACCGCTGACAGTTGGAGCTGCCTCCTCCGCGCAGCGGCCTGACGCTGGGCCCGGGGCTGGGGCCGTCCGCGCTGTCCCAGGAGGCCACGGACACGGTCACTCTCCCCACCGTGCGGCCGCCCGCCACCCACGCAGGGGAGTCCGGGCCCGCGCCCCCTCCCGCGTTCGCCGCAGGTGAGACTCCCGCTCCCCACGGAGTTCTGTTTGGGTTTCCGTGGCGTTTGTTCCCCGCAGGTTGGTTTGTTTTTCTTCAAATTACAGATGCAGGGAAAACCGCCTGACATCATGAGAGCGGGACAAACGCTCACTTTGAAGGATTCCTGGGCAGGACTTCAAGTGAAATCATATGCCTGAGAAGAACTTGATACCGGTCTAGAGAAAATAACCAGCTCTGAGTCTGCCAAACCGTGGAATGTGCAAAATGCTCTACTTTTTTGCAAGAGGCCAAATGTCCCTTAAAAAGCTCCATTATGAATATGAGCCTGAGGACCGAAGGAGCAAGAAGCTTGTGTCAGTTGCTGAGTGTGGGGGAAAAGTACACACGTTGTGTGAGTTTCTGCTCTTTGACGTTATTTTATTAATATGTTCCACTTTGGGGAGGGTACCTGCAACTGTGCATGAATTATCATCTGTGCATGTGCTTGTTAGCAAGTGTGTGCACAAAGAGGGGAAATGTGTGTAATGGGAACAAAAATTTACTGCTTTCTTATGACTGAAGGCTGTCAATCCAACGAAATTAAAAGCAAGATTAAAAAATTACGTGCACAGTAAAGGAAACATTCAATTGTTTAGAATTCACCCAAGACAATTTAATAAATACTTTCCCTTCAGTGAATACACTCTGGCTAAAGGGTAAAGATTCCCGGGTCCAGAAATCGTATTAAATTCTCACTTCTGAAACAGATGTAATTCATCCTAAATCTCCTTTAAATAAGAATAGGTAGTAAAAATCAAATGAAATAAAATGAAAATAGGAAATATTGATAGAAACACAGGTGCTTCGTTTCTATTCTAAAAAAGAATTGGTACTGTGGTGTGTATGGGGTGGGGAAGGTTGGGAATACAGATATAGTCTGGCAAGCTGAAAATTGTATTCTAATAGTTAATATTTTCCACCATGAATCCTTCTCATTCAAAGTAAAACTATTCACCACCTTTCTTTCATTCATTTATTTATCTGAAAATCTCGGGGAAAATATTACCTTCAGTTTAGTATTTAGTATTACGCAACATAAATGTGGCATTTGATTTTCTTCCAAGTCTTTTATGTGAAAAGTGGAGAGAACAACACACACACACACACACACAAAGAAAAAAAACAGGCAAATGGAAGGCTACCTTTTTTGAAACTTCTAGTGTCTACATCATCAGAGGTTAAGATAGAAATTACCTTCTCAGCAAGGATGGTCAGCTCCATTCTGATGTACATCAAGAAATCTGGAATATCAAATTGTCAGGCCAAGCTAGTAACAAGATTCCTCCATGAACAATTTAGAAAATGGAGGTGGGTCAATGACACACACAAAAGAGAGAATTACCATCTTGATGATCTCCCTCATCCTTCTAGGGCACCCTCTTTACATTTCTGCTCTACACACACACACACACACACACACACACACTCACACACACTCCACAAATAATGTTTCCGTCTTATTTTGTAAAGGACTATCAAAATCTAAAAAATTATTTCCCTAAGCTTTCACTAATCTTTTAATATAAGTAAATTCTACAGGCTCCTTATTGTAAAACATGGTCTAAAATACTCACAATAATAAATTTACAATATTGTTATGTCAGCATTCTATGATGTGTAGAGGGGGGGAAAAAACCTTCAGGCAATATAACCTCAACCTGAGCTGAGCAAACACTATCTGTTTGGATTCATACACTTATTTGCCACAGTCATTATTTGAATTAGGCAGCAAAATTACTTGCCAGTTTGAAAGCATCCCTAATTATACTTGAAGGCAATAAACTGGATTCAGAAGTTAAGAACTTAGGGATACAAAGTCACTATTTTTAATGTTATTCATTATAAAAGCCAGTATTTTTTTTGGCCCAGAAATGACCAGAATGAAATTAAAAATCAAGCAACATTTGTCCCTGTTATTCCTTTACTTAACTAATAAATCAGATTTTGTATACATGGAAGTAACCAGGGAAAAATTCTGTGTAATTTTGGATAAAATATATTTGCTAATGAACTGACCAGAAAATGAATAGCTATAGCATTTAAAATTTTAACTGTTCCAATAGTTACCGAAGATACTGAAAAGTTCAGGTTCTTTATTGTGTTCTACTCCATAGCTGTATGTACTTTACATATAAAAAAGGAGCATGCTTCCCAAATTGACATCAACATGGGAAAATATTCTTAACTTTGGCTTGTCTTCTTAGCAAACTTGACATTAAATGTCATTCTCATTCATGAAAGAAGAGTTAAGCGAATTACTTTATAAATGGAATTCTCTGTCATGCCAAATTAAACTTCATTTTCTATACATTTGTTTTCATTTATATGTGTGTATAGATAGGTAATTTTGATAACACTTTATGCATCCCTTCACTGAAATAAACCTGTTATTTAAAAATCCTCATAAAGAGTAGAAATCATGACAAAAACAAAGAGAAAATAGTGCTGAGTTCGTAGTGCTTATTTGCATTTAACTGTTTTACAGTTGCCTTCTCAAAATATAAGCAAGAGAGGTGAATGACTCTTAAGTTTTTGCTGTCTGGGGACCTGATAAGAGATGAAGGGGAGATGCTAAGTCCACTGAACACCCAACAGGAATAACGATAAAGCTGCCTTTCTAAATAACATGCCTGTACCTGTCAGTAACTAGTTTTGAGTTTTTCACTGCTTTGTTTCTATTAGTGCTCCCTCACCCTCCTGGGTGTCTCCAGAGTTAAACAAGCAGGTTTTTACCTCCAACTTAATCCTTTAAAAATATAGACCAAACTTTAAGGTTCTGACAATTTTCAACCATATTTATTTATTGCAGAAAAATAATATACAAAGATATTTACAAAACAATCATAAAAATATGAATGCATTTAGACACCGGATCTATTTGCATTTTACCATGGGTCATCAATAAATAAATAGAATGTTGTTTTTGTATTTTAAGTTTTTTTTTTTCCCTCAGAGGAAGAATGAAAAAAGGAATTAACTGACTGTGATTTTGCAAGTCAGTTTGATCCCAGTATTTTAATTTCTAAAGGTGTTCTTAAAATTCCTCTGATTGTTACCATTTTAAAATGGAGAAAGTCCATAATGATGCCTTTCCTTTCAGTGGCTGATTGGCACGACCTCTTGAGAATGCATGCATGAAAAAATAAAAATAAAAACATTCTTCGTCAAAAAAAAAAAAAAAAAGGAACACAAACTGTTCAGACTTCTATCAGAATGTAGAGGTGTGAGGATGGTGCCGCTGCCCGTCCGGGAATCACTGTCCACGGGCCTGTCTCGCTTTCTCTTTTAAAAGTGCGCCCCACGCCCTGTTTCTTTGAATTTGGATTCTGCTCTTCTAATTTCCAAGAAAACCTTTGGCATATATATTTATTTTTAATTATCCAGCTCCAGAGTCTCTAGACTGTCCATTTTCTCCTTCTCTGGAAGCAATGACATCTGCAAAAACCCAGAGGGGGGAAAGTTGGTTATTGTTTAGGTCTCTGTGGCTGTTTTCTAAGACTAGTGAGCACTGTTCTTATCACCACCACGGAGAAATTACGCTGAACAACCTGGAAGGATTTCAGCCCAAGGGCAAGAGGAAGTGGGTGGGCGGAATGGAGGAGGAGGTGGAATTTGGAAACATTTGTTTTAAGGAGAACGAAAACTTAAAGCCAAAAGAAAGGGAGGCGCTGGCAAGACTGTCCTTATCCATGACCCTCGACTCTTTCTCCGTCTTCCCTCCTGTCTGTCACGCGCACTCACGCACACGCACACCCCTCACAAGGGCGCATCCCTCTCTCCCTAGCGGGGACTAAGCTGCCTTCCAGAGACGCTCGGGAGAAGAGGTGGCGGTGCCAGGTGGGGTGGGAAGGCTGAGAGGGGAGTAGGAGACGGGGAGGAAGGCGAGGCGGACAGGGAGCCGCGGCCCGGCCGTCAGTCGGTCTGCCACCTGAGCGGCGAAGGGGCGCAGAGGCGCCGGGTCCTTACCTAGGTCTCCGGCCCTGCCGAGGGGGTGGGGAGCTCCGCCTGCTAGTGGGACGCGGACATGGACCAGGCCCCCTCCATCCTCCAGACCGAGAAGGCGTAACTGAGCCGCTCGTGGGCCACATAGCTGCAGCTTGCCATCTTGGAGTCCAGCTCGTCGCTCTGTAGGACCTGGTAGAGGAAGTCGATATACCTGGCCGCCAACTTGAGGGTCTGGATCTTGCTCAGCTTGTCCGAAGGCAGCGTGGGGATGATCTTCCGCAGCGCGGCGAACGCCTCATTCAGCGACTGGGTGCGCTGGCGCTCCCGTACGTTAGCCATAACCCGCTGCGTCTGCAGCTCCTCGTAGGATTGCGGACTCCCGCCGCCGCTGCTGCTGCCGCCGCCGCCGCCGCCACCGGCGCCGCCGCCGCCGCCGCAGCCCGCAGACTTCTTGCCGCGCTTGCCTTGGGCTGGGCTGCCAGGCTCCTCGCCGCCTCCGACGCCCCCGCCCGCGGCCCCACCGGGCCCCGCGCCGCCCCCAGCGCTGCGCCGGCTGCTGCGCCGCTTGCGCCCCCCGCGCTTGCCGCTCGGCGGCTGCTGCCGGTCCGGCTCCTCCTCGCTGTTGCTCAGACTGTCGTCGGCCGGCGAGACTGGCGAGCTGGACACGTCCTGCATCATCTCTCGGGCGGCAACGCGCGGCCTCGCAGGCCCGGGGCAGAAGGGCGGCCCGGGGAAGAGGAGGAGAGCCTGGCGCCTCAGCCCGCCAGCTTCCCTCGCGCGCGGCGCCGGCCCGGGCGGTGCGGACCGCGGAGGAGGGAGCGGGAGGAGGGACAGGGAGGATCTCCGCGGGGAGGGCGCGCGGGGGAGGCGGGGAGGGAGGCGGGAGGGGGAGGGGACGGTGTGGATGGCCCCGAGGTCCAAAAAGAAGGCGCCCAACGGCCGCACGCACACCCGGCTCTGCCTCCTGGAAACGCTGCCGGTGCCGGCGAGCCCGCGAGGTGTCTGGGAGTTGGGCGAAAGCTGCCGACTTGGAGGCTCTTATACCTCCGTGCAGGCGGAAAGTTTGGGGGCAGCAGTGTCATTGGCCTGACGTGGGGAGGAGGGACTTTTCGAAGTTTTATAGGAAAGTTTCCGCTTTCCAGCCCCCCTTCTCCGTCCCCACCCCCCGTTCCTCGGGGTCTAACAATTCGTCCTCCCAAACCATTCAAAAACGACCTGACCCAGGCGGCCGGCCCCTCTGCCCGCCTCTTTGCTGCCCTCCCCCTTCCCTCCCCGCCACCCTCTTCCCGCGGGCGCGGGGCAATTTCCTTCCGCGCCGGAGCAGGCGGGCCGCGCCCCCGCACCCGAGCGCAGCCCGGGGAAGCGGCCGGAGGGTACCATTCCCGCCGCCTTGTCGGCCCCTCCCGGAGTGGCTGTGACAGCAGCGGAGGCAACAGCGTCTACGCAATGGGTGAAGTCTCATCTCGCCTCAGTACCCTCTAGGTCCGTGGCGCGATTTGGGACTGCTGGGGCGGGGGTGACTGGCAGGAATACCGGCAGCGGCGGAGCCCACCCGATGGTCAGCCAGACGGGCCCCTTGAGTCCCAAGGGCCAAACCACCGCGGCTGGTCCTGAGGTCGTGGGCGTTTCTGAAGACGTGGCCGCGCAGGGGACTGCTGAACTGCGCCCCGGCCTATTCTCTCACCCTTCCTCGAGAAGCATCTGGGCCTTTCTGTTCCCTCCACAGTGTCTCGATCTGACGTTTCCCAACACCCAAAGGACTACACCTCCGAAGGTGCTAGAAAGAGGCAGACGTTCATTCTTCCGCGGAAGGCGGTCCTGTCCTTGGAGAAGGCAGCAGGGCCGGAGTGGGGCAACGCGGGGTCTTCGCCGCGGCCCTGATTGCCTGTGCTGCTAGCCCAAGGTGGAGTTCTTGTGGCCGTTTCATCCCCACCCCACTCCCAGATAAGACCCTGCATTGTGACCTCTAAAGGTCGGCTCTGAGAGAGTGAGACGGGGGCTCAACATTGCCTGGACACGCGGGGCTGATGGTTGCGAGAGTCCCCTTCCCCACCCCACTCCCCACTCCTAGGAGGTCCAGTGAGCCTGTTCCGCGCTCCCCAAACGCATTCCAATCGTTTGGACACAGACATTTTAAGCGTTTCTAATAAGTCACGATGAAGAGCCCCGAAGAGGGTGTTAATGCAGATTCTGTCAAGTCGAAAGCAAGAAAAGTTGGCGAGCTGAAAAGGAAGGGACGCTGCCGTGGACGAGAACCCCATCTTTTCAATGCTAGACTTTTTTTTTTTTTTTTTTTTTCCTTTTTGGAACGAGTTGGCAGAGAATAACCGTTTCATGTTCATTCTTTAAGTTGCAAAGCAAACCAGAGGTCAAACGCAGCAGTTAGTTTTCGGGGCAGATTTGGGGGTGCGGAAGTTGCGTGCCCTGTGCTCGGGTACCCTGCTCAGGCCGAGGTCCGCTCACGCTCTCCACGGCTTGGACTCTAAGCCGAGAATTAACTTAGCTAAGCTTCGCTTTCTGGGCCCGACCGAGGGTCGAGGCCCACGGTGTCCAGAGGAGGAGGCGGGAGCTCAGGCGACGCGCGGGCAGGCCACGTGGCTATGCCCCACTGAGGCTCGCAGCTTCGGTCCCGGTCCCGGAAACCCCGGGGTCTGGAGCGCCTGGGGCCGGTTGAAGGGCTCAGCCTTCCAGGGGAAGTGATAGCAAGCAGAATCCCTTCCGCGGGGGGCGAGCAAGGCTAAGCTTTCATGGAAGGGGCGACGTGCAGGGTTTGTCTATCACTATTCTTAGAAATATTCATAGACAATGACCATAGCGTGCCAACTTGCCTGCTTTTTGAGTCGCTGCCATATTTTAAAATGAATGCCTGTCTGAAAATCAGATTCTACTTGACCTCCACTTAATCGTTTACAGTCAGGTCTTCTTAAAGCGCCCTCTGATAATTCACTCCTGTGATTGCATCTTCTGCCTATAGGATTTGGTCTCTTGGAAGCAGTTAGAGAATAGGCAGAAATCATCTTTTTATCTTTTGTAAATCTGAATCGCAGAGTATTCCACAATTCTTATTTGAACGTCGCTGCAGGATTCTTGAAAAATTTCATCCTTCACCTATGTCTGTGATTTTTTTTTTTTAAAGATCAATCTCAAATCTTAAATTTTTTTTTCCCTTCAGCTGAATACTCAAAAATAAAGAGATCAAATAATGGGACTCTTTCCTTTGTGGCTATGGGTAAGCAAGACAGGAAAGTGTGGGCAAAGTGTAAAGGAAACCTTACCTGCCCAAGGGGAATTGGAGTTGGGGGCGGGGGTACGAGGATGGAAATCGGGACAGACGCTGGAGGAGAAACCGAGTCCACAACAGCGCAACAGCCATTAGTTAGCCCGACTTGCAAAGTCATCAATCTCTAAGACTAGTTCTGTTTAAAGTGAGCCTAGCGCTTCCCTGGGCACTCAACTTCTAGGGGATAAAGAGCTCCCGGCCACTGAATATAGGGATCCCCGGGAGTGAGGCGATGCTATGGATGCAAGAATGCTTAAAACAGGGTTGAAAATGAATGAACTAAGCAGAACTACCCCGGGCACGGAATCTTCTTGATGGAGTCACAATGAATGACTTTAGTTCTGAGGAAAAAAAATTTCTCTTGTACTCTTCGAAGGAGTGGAAAATGAGGATGAGGTGTTTTGAGTATTTAAAAGTTAGTATTGAAGCAGAAGGTTGCAGCTTGCCAAATGAATTACCTCTCAAGACATCTGAGGCTTGATGCTCCCTACTTTGCAAACTTCAACATTTCCTGGCCTGATTGTCCCATCTGTATTCTACCTAACATTTTATGTAACAAATTTCTTATCCACACTTGCTGGGGCAAGAATAAAGGCAAACTCTCTTTTTAATGTGCTGAAGAGCCAAGTATAATTCTTGATCTTTTGTATATGCAGTGATAATGGCACCTTCCACAATATTTGGTTTAACATATGAAAGCTTACTTAGTTCTAGAATCCTAATTTCAGGCTCTTTAAAAGGGGTCTTAGGAATTTTCCTTTGGGGCTGAACTCAGCCTGACTTAAAGGTCATCAGTGGAAGACTACCTTCTTTGGGAATACTGGATTCATTGGAATTAAATCGTTTCATCTACTTCTAAAATAAATGCCCTAAAAAATTAACTGAAAACAAAACAGCTTTCTTTTGCACTTGGATAATTCAAAACGAGCTTTGTTTTCAAACTGCAAACTTGGCATGTTCACAGTCCTTCCTGAGGAATGTGTGCTGTGTTAAAATATGAAAAAAAGAATACTGTTAGAAATAACAGAGTTAGGAATCTCATACTCAGCATATGTAAAAAGTATGTACATATCTGTATTCCTATAGTATGAATAGGCACTGGCATTCTCCTAGCAACATTTATAAAGACTTTTAGAGAAGGAAAAGAAACACAAACACTATAGAATGTTAGCAAGCTGGTACATTTTGGAGTTGGGATTTGCACAAAAGGCGAGCACTTGAATCTGTTCCTACTGTTTCTCCTCAGTTTTTGGATGACTTACCACCTGTTTGTTGGCTTAGAGTTCTGCGAAATAATTTCTCTGGATTGCATGAATGAAGCACGGGAACATTCACACAGAAGGGGGCGCAGATTGGAAAAGGCTGCATTTGAGTGCATCTCAGTTGAGATTGTACATGTTAGATTTCATCTTGTTTTGAATACTTCACAGGGATTGCTTAATTTGATATTTAAATGAGAGAATTTTATCAAAGTGGAATACAAAATTTTTGTCAGCAGGAGTGACTTGGATAACTCTATGTGAAAGCAGATTCTTTTTCAGTGACACAGGTAGCTTTAAGGATGTTTGTGCACCTTGCCCTAAAGAGGTCATTCTCCTTCTCTTTTAATGACAGTTTAATTCATGATTTTAACTGATTCTACCTTTCTCTTTTTGAATTTCTTTAAGAATAGGGATCTAAAATTATGAAATTTGAAGCTTTCAATCCAGAAATAAAATGAAAAGTATAAAGCACAAGAACTTGAGTTGCCAAGAGCACTTCAAATGAGCAAATCGAATATGCAAATAAATATTAATCTTTAAAGTATCTGGCATTCTGAAGTAAAAATTAGGATGGGATTAGGAGACATAATATGCCAAACTTGTAGGGAGAGAAGAATCAGAGTGTGGAAAAGTATAGAGTCTTCAAGAGTTTCCCCCCCACCCACTTTATTACCTTATTGGGTATGCATGCTAGAAAGTTTGTGTCCCAGCTTTGCTGCCACTTAACCTTGTTGAAATATGCTCTCACTTATATCAGTTACCGGAATGACTGAAGAAATAATGTAAGAAATACACAGTTATTCATAGATGCTTTTTATCATGGCCACAATTTTCCTACATAGTAATCATTTTTTCTCTTCTTTTTAATCATCTGATGATCAAGCAATTTAAATATAAGTTGAATGATTTACATTCTGTGTTTTTCCAGCTAAAGTTCCCTTTCTGATTACTCACAGCTTTCATCTCTCTTCACTTCAAGGGATTTCCTTTTTTCACAAGTGGCTTTTCCTGAAGCCTTAAATCCTATTTCCATTGTTTGGATTGATTATTTGTGCAAAAACATGTTGTTTTTGCCAGTGACCACAAGAGGACACAATTTCCCAGAGAACTTTGTTGAAAAAGACACAGAAGAGGAAAGCTAACAAAATAGCAAAAATACTACACAATGAATGAATGTCATTTGGGGAATGTCTATTTGATTTATGTTACTTTTATTAATTTTTAAAAACATAAAAATGAGTTGGCATTCAGGCTTTAGATTTTTTGGAAGACTTTGTCTTTTTTCTTTATTGTAGAGCATACAAGAAAAGCATACATTTAAGAAAATACCATTTTAACAGAAAATATTTATTTTACATTAGCAAATTTTTTTACAAAACAGCATTTTGTTCAAAGGAAAAAAAAATTCTTTTTATATTGGCAAATTCTGTACCAAATTCTCAGTGACCTGGAATTCTACTTTTTAAATTTTAGAGCCATGTTTGACAATTTAAAAAATATACTGC